TGAGTGATGTTATCTGGAAAACAGATCAGTCTTGCTGCATAGATACGCCCTAATACAAACGAATTTATGCTGCGTGGGAGGGAATGTTGTAGGACTGGAGCACCGTGTGCTATTGCTACGCCTTAGGTTGACAGTCGAGATATAGTCCCGTTGATAGTCCTAGAGATCAAAATGTCCGAAAGGGAAGTCCTCCTTTCTACCTAAATGTTACAAGTAAAAGAGGTGTTTTGGGGCGTTGTGTTAAAAACCGAGAGCAAGCCATCATTAAATCACAAACAATATTGTTGGTAAAAAGTCAGCTGCTCAACGCGATTTTCTGTCAACAGCTCAGATATTGTCACAAAAATGTGTAGATGTGGATCCCGAAACGATCTCTATAGCGATACCATCAGTTTGCTTGGAGCTGATAACTTGGAAGTAAAAGTTGAAATTCTTGGTACACACTAATATAAGGTGTTTGGCTTCTTGTAGGCAGAGACGTCAGTGGAAGTCGTCGTTGCAAAACAAAATGCCTGCTTTCTCGTTGACTCGTTACGGTTCTCCGAAACCAACCCACATGACCCGTGGTTCTGAGAGGGTGAGTTTCAAAATCCTGAAGACATCTTAGTCCCACAGCTAAAACAGGCCACGTCTCACAATCACACAAAAACAGCCCACAATGTAGCCTGACGACCTCGTCCTAGGTAGGACTACGCCTTTCTCACGACATAGGTGTCTCATGTTGGCAAACGAGAACCGAGCCCAGTGGATTCGAGACATTGGGGTCATCTATCGCAATACGTCTGAAACTAATGCAACTTCGAAAATGCACAGAACGCTCCACAACCTCGAGTGCACATTCATGGATTGTGAGTGGCGTTTTCAGTCACTGCATGTTAACGAGTAAAACCTTAAACCCTTTGGATGCGGAGCGCATGCCAAATTATGGGAGACTTTGGTTACTTCGTCCAAAGTTACCCGTGCAATCTTATTCTCTTTGAAAACGAGAACTATGTTGCCCCTTTATTCTAGCTCAATAAGGTTTTCGTCGTTAGCTATTTGGACACCCGATTTTTAAAAACCTTCCTGCGCTCGTCTTGTTATTCCGTGAATCGCGAAACGAAATAGGAATAAATCAAGGATGGGAATAATCAGATACGAAAGGTGAAGATGCGCATCCATTTTGGGCACCGTTTTGTGTATGGAAGCTTTTGGAGAGTTCTCTGTTTGTTCTCACACACCCGAGAATATAAGAACACAAAGGAATTGTTGTGGTTACAAACTTCCGCGGCGTTCCTTGTTTGGCCAGGGTGTCACGTAGAACAGAACGGGCAGTAGATTTGAATGCGCCTTGGAAATTCAGGTCTACTAGAATCGTCGTTCGTTTATACACATAGCGTTTCACTGGCACCCGGAGGATTGCAAAATCTTAGTCAACACAACTCTCACCAGGCCAGATTCCTGCTTTTTGCACTCGAGTAAGTATTTCACGAGCCATCATAAACCGATAAATAAGAAGTAACGCCAAAACTCTTTCTCTGTTTGTTCTCACACACCCGAGAATATAAGAACACAAAGGAATTGTTGTGGTTACAAACTTCCGGGGAGTTCCTTGTTTGGCCAGGGTGTCACGTAGAACAGAACGGGCAGTAGATTTGAATGCGCCTTGGAAATTCAGGTCTACTAGAATCGTCGTTCGTTTATACACATAGCGTTTCACTGGCACCCGGAGGATTGCAAAATCTTAGTCAACACAACTCTCACCAGGCCAGATTCCTGCTTTTTGCACTCGAGTAAGTATTTCACGAGCCATCATAAACCGATAAATAAGAAGTAACGCCAAAACTCTCGTTAGGATCAGGGTCAAGCTGACCCTTTCGTGGTTACATCTCTACTGACCTTTTTTGAAAATAATCGCCATTACCGAGTCTCTCCAGTTGCCTGCGATAGTCGCCTTTTCCCAAATGCACGTAACTGGATCACGCAAGCACTGACTCAGTATTTCAATCCGGGGCCGTCCGGGGCTCCATGTTTGCTGTGCTTTATTCTAATTTTGCTATAGAACCAAAATAAGTGACAGCCGGTGATTGCGGGAACTGTCGTATGGAGAATTCGATCCAGTGATGTAGGCGTTATTCCTTATTTAGGAAGATTCCGCCACTTTGACCCTTGATGACTTTATTCCCAGGTGCTCCCCGGGGACGGATCACACGGATCAACCAAAATGATCTTCTGGTGTTTCCGGTTTTCTGGGCTCGTTCCATTCTTGAAACCTTCTGTATTCTTTAGGCTTAGCGGCCGGATGCACAAACTCACATTCATTTGACGTCTGAAAACTTGTCGGGAAAAATTATGTTCATGACCGTTAGGGACAGTTCTCCGAGGTTCGAGCATGCCCATTGTTCTCTCTGATATCCAGCACTCGAGTGAGCCTGGTAGCTCCCTCACAGGCTAAACTCCCAATACTATGGACGTAATAGGCGACCCAGTTCTAGCATGAATCCAAATCCGACATTGGAGCTGTTGTAAGAGTCCAGAAGACGATTCTTATAAATTCATCTCACTTCCCGATTTGGCGGTATCCCAGCTGCTAGCAATTTGCCTGCATCTTACGCGGTCCGGGAAAACGGAGGGAAAGGCTACATTTGGCGAGCGTGTGGTTGGAATGAACTTGATTGTTCCAAACCGACCGGTCATCTGGAAACGATGTCGATGCGATCGATCTGAGTTCGTGGCTGTTAAAGGACACAGTGTGGCCAAAAGACTGTGGCTACCACGAAAGGCAGCACTGCCTAGAAATGGTCTTCGTTCAGCACATAAATAAAGCAGCCGTTCGCCAGTGATCGTACTTGCTGAGGCCAATCCATTTCGATCACTCAAATGAATCTCAGATCATTGACAACCACAACGATATCTGGATTTTTAGCTCACAGGGACTGGGTATTTAAGGCTCATAAAACTTGTCTTGAGCGGTGTCGGAGCTGCAGTCGGTTTAAGCTTGGACGAATGGGACTAGCAGATAGCGATCAACCTCCCGCTTGTAAGGCTCCTTCGTGGACGTTGCTGGAAGAACCGCAGAGGTGACTATCAACGAGAATCTAGTCAATCCAATACAACCAAGGATCCTTTTCCTTACCCCTCAATTTGCTTGCTATTCGCTCCACTATTAAGGAGCGTCTTCTCTGTTCACCAGCCGGACCAGTTTCCCCTTCTGGCGAACAGCCCGAATCACTCATCACATTTATCACACGTTTGAAACAGTATATGTCTGCTCTTCGTGCGACACCGACAAGACGCTCAACACGAAAGGAAAACATCTCAACTGATGTCTCTTCAATACCACTTGTGTTTGTCCGACATGACGCAACGAAGACACTCTGTCAAACACCTGTAGTGACCCCCCCTCAAGGTTATCGAACACCATTCCGAATACTTTGTTTCAGGGAAAGGCGGAACGCATGATACCGTCTCCATTGATCGTCTGAAGCCTGCCTTCATTGAAGCACCCATGACCATATCCAGCAATCCTGCTATCCCAGCAACACCCGCATCTACCCAAGATACCATTACAACCAACCTCACTCCTCCCAAAAGTTGTTCCGGACGTCGCGTCCATTTCCCCCAGCACTTAGCTGATTAAAAAACTTGAAGTGAGCAAATTTTTGATTCACTACTCTGATTATTCGAGCATTTTCCCCTTTCACAGTCAACGCTCTGGTGAAGGAGTAGTGTGGTGTCTTGTACCTTTATTTTGTTTCCATCATAACGATACATGTTGCCAGCGGCTAGACGCACATCCAAAATTTCTCTGAAACCGTGGTTCGATGGAGGAAAACTTTAGCATAAAGTTTTAACATTTGATGGTAATTTTTCAAGCGTATGAGATCTTCCCAAACGGCCCCAGTTTTGTTGAAAGTTGTTTAAACCTACTCAATTCCCACGATATTCAAGGCCCGCGATATTCATATTTTAATGGTGTAACGCAGTTGAAACTCGACTGTATCTGCATGCAATGCACGTACATGAGCTTATGTGTCTCTCCCCTCTCTCTTCCTGTTGCAGGTGCCATGGTCGAACCACCACGAGCCTCGGACAGGAAAGAATAGCCACTTGTACAACCCCCCCCCGGACTGACCTTGACCGACCCCTTTTTGTACACACCCTCTGTCTTCCGGTTTCGGTTCGGATTAATACACGTGCTTTGTTGCTACACTTCGGTCTTCTTCTCTGTACCACCGGACCTGTGCGCATGTGTGTTGTGTATACCGTGTGGATTCATTAATACCTACCAATATATCTGCCAACCCCCCCCGGACTGACCTTGACCGACCCCTTTTTGTACACACCCTCTGTCTTCCGGTTTCGGTTCGGATTAATACACGTGCTTTGTTGCTACACTTCGGTCTTCTTCTCTGTACCACCGGACCTGTGCGCATGTGTGTTGTGTATACCGTGTGGATTCATTAATACCAGTCCATATATCTGCACATTTCAGAACTGACGTGTGCCGTCGCTACATCCTCTCGAACGTCGAATACCGCTGACTTCCTGACGTCCCACGCTACATTGGTGAGAGAGGTTGAATACAGTCAATCCCGAGACTCATATGCGACATGACGGCTAAATCCAACGTGACGCGCACAAATGAAGACGAAATGGAAATGATATCGGCTGATATTCCACAAATGGGTAGCCACCGAGGATATTCCACCCTGGCGAAGATCTCGACCTGTGGTCGTTTCGAATGAAAGCATTCCTTTCATCAGTACCCCCGGAGCAGCACGGACAGTTCATTCTGTCCCGGCTAGATGACTCCGCCGCCCGTCGCGTACTTTACTCAGGCCTTTCATTGTCTGCTCCACCAGACATTCTCTGGACCCAATTGGCCTCCCTGTTTGGCACGCTACTGCCGAGCAGTGTTTTTCGAGAGCGTTGTAGCACTTGTAAACTGCTCTTTTCATGCTCAGCATAATCTTCTTTTTTCCATCATTATCAGTCACATCGCTGTACAAAAGTTTGTTTTACTGAAATACAACCGCTACCGCCCGCTTGTTGGCTCCAACGTGACTTTGAGACTTCTGCCGAGTGACTGTTGTTATGACCGCCGGTTGGCTATATTTGACCGCTGCTAACACTAAACGTGAGCAAACATTTCAGCTACAAACACTGGACAAATATATTCACATTTGTGGATTAATATTTCAACCACCGGAGATCTGGAATACCAGGAAGATAGAACTATTCTTGGTGTGGTGGTTCAACGGAATACGGAACTACGGAACTACAGAATCTCCTATTTTGAACTGTGAGTCAAGATTTACTTGGATTTTTCTCCTTGTAAATTTGTATCTGGCTTACATTAGTAATCTACTCTGTTCACTATAGACTCCATAGAGCCGTTAACCACTACAGCGCTTTTTTAACCGGAACCAGCACCCGGGTGAGACAGCGGATGAGTATGCAGACGCCCTCCGAGACCTTGTCTCAAAAGCATATCCTGAGGATTCGCCATAAGTTCGTGAAGTGCACGCTGCCTAGCGATTCATGGATGGGGTGCGAAACGCCGAATCGAAGGCGAAATTTCTTCGGAGAGGTGACCGGAACTTGGGTGACCCCCTCCAAATCGCACGGATCTACGCACATCTGTATGACAGCGGAGATCAAGCCCCAAGTCCTGCCCCATTGTTTCCAAAAAAGCAACGTCACCGGCAGGATGTATGGACCTCCAGTGCAAACAAACCAAACCGTGGGAATCGCTTCCACTGTATGCGCTTCAGAAAGAATGCCAGGTGCTGCGGTCAAAACTCCCGTAACAGTAAAGTCCCGTTGCCACTGCAAGTTTGTGCCGTAATCTCACTTCATTGCACTTAATGGAATATGAGATCCATGAGGAAAATGTATTGTGAACAGGTTCGCCGAACAAAAATATCCCATTTGTTAAATCTATGGTTTCTAAAGTGAACAAACGCCTAAGACTGATCCTATATAGTGGCATTTGCATTGAATGTTCTTAAGATGTTATTTGAATCTTCAGGAACACCGAGGGACGCCAAAATATGTTACAGTGCGATTTCATGTTTTATGTCACGTAAACCGGCAAAAAATGCAAATCGGCGATGGCCTATGACCTTGACATGTCGCTCACTTAAACAAAACGCTAAGTGCAACATGTCACGGGAAGGTGCAAATTGATTAGACTAACTCCGTATTAAAATGGCAACTTCAAAAACCCTATAATTTCGGCTAACTCAATTTGGGTGTGCTAATAGCATGCGGCTTACGTGTTTGACGCTTTCCCCTGGAGAGTTGTCGACCCAAAGTAGACCCAATAACTACTTACTCCCTGTTGGAACACGGTTGGTTCAACAGAATTTCGATGTTTCTCAATTATAACACGCTGCCAACATGGTAAGAAGATTCTCAAACTCATGGCACATACATTTAATAGGCTGTAGCGGACTAAGAACCTATCAGCGTTTTCGGGTAAATTAACAAGCAAAAGGAGCCAATAAAAAATCACAAAATCAAAATAGGAATAGAATGAGTAGACAAATGGGGACTCACGAATGTGTAGATCCAATAGTCCACCACACCGATCCAAATGCAGTAGTTGGCTGTGAAAAGAATTATTCACGGCTAA